GCTCTGGCCATAGCGTGCACTGCGGCGCTCGGGCTCCCCCTTGCGGTCGGAGGCGGGACGTGGCCCTGGGCTGGCCCTGCCTGAGAATTACTTTCTTAGTTTTAGGCATTTGCCTCCACTGCGTTGGATCTTGTAAAGCAAGACGCAGAAAACGTCGTGCCTGTTGAAGTTCCTAAGGCAGTGCGGCTCAGAAGGAAAGGGACTGAGGGCTACCAGAAGACTTGGTTCTGAAGCTGGGTGGATGGAAGTAGTCACTGAAGTGTGGAAACGCTCTGCCTCATTTCTAGGTGACACGTGTTAAGAGAGATGCAGCATAAATAACCTAAGCGAATGGCTAGGAGACGTGCGAAATACATTTCCTTCCACCGACAGGAAGTGCAGGAAGTTCAATATAAAAGGTGATAGAAACTCTGAACAACTCGGAGTGACTTGTTTTAGAACAAATTCACGAGGAAGCTCATCACGATGATCTACTCTGGGCGCTCAGAGCCAGGTGAAAGGGGCCACCAGAATCTGGCAGGAATCACATGATTGCTGGGCCCTGAAATGTGGGTGGCGCCTTCACCAGAGTGGCCTGTCCTCACGGGGTTGAAATGGCTGCTTGTGAATGAATCTGAACCTAGAGAATTTCAGCGTCGCTGTCTACACGTCCCATTCCAACAAAAATGAGCTTGGCGTCGTTTCATCCACATTGACTTCCCTTTGCTTTCTTGTCCTCCTGAGTATTCTTAGGACATAGAATGAGCAGATCTGCATTTACCTACTGTAATTAGTTATTTGAAGAGAATGGTCACACCAAGGTTCTGTGCTACTTTTATAATTATCGCTTAAATCATTACACCAGCTTCCCGACTGGTCTCACTGCCTCCTGTCTGGTTCTGCTTGTCCAAACAGCAGCCACCAGAAGAACCCAGGCCTGATTTGGACGCCAGCATGATGGAATGTGGCTGAGCAGGCTGCCAGTGGAGCCCAAGGGGAGACCAAGCTTGGAAATGTCCCTTTTCCTGCTACAGAGATCATGTTTCCAGAGATTCTAGACTTTCTAACAGCTCCAACCATTATTTCTTTATTGCACAAGTAAAATAACAGGACAGAAAAACAAATTTACCTTTACGCCCACGACCTGAAAATGACTGCTGCTCACATTTTGATATATACCTATTTTGAAATATCCAAAATTCTGAAAACATCACTAGAACAAAATATTCTTCCTTGCCACTTTAACGTGCATTCCTTTAATTCCTAACAAGGTAAACATTTTTTCATGCTTATATGGTGTCTGAATTTCTTCTTTAGCAAGTATCTCTCCATGCCTTTAACTCGTGTTTCTGCAAAATACTAATTTTTTGTTTCATCAGCTTGTAAAGAAATGCACTTAAGAATTTTTTGTCACTTATGTAGCATTTTTTACACATGGTGTTTGTCTTTTCAATTTTGCTAATTCACATATACACATATACCTAATTTTAACATGCTTGTCATGGGCAAATTATCCATTTTTTCACTGTGGTTTCTGCCTCTGAGACAATATTTATAGTACATCTCAATCCCAGGATTAAATATTTTTTGTAGTGCTTCAAAAACTTTCTTTTTTGTGTGGGGGGGTGTATGAGTTAACTTTTATTTCATTTTGCCTGCTTTATGTTAGTCTTTTTTCCCTCATTAAGTTTATTGGTGCACTTAAAGTAAACAATACCGTAACATTTATCATAGGGATCTTGTACCTCTACCTGACAGGTCTTGGTTCTTATTTTTTCACCTATATCCCTCCCCTCCCTTCACCCGCTTCACCCTTCCCTATAAAAACTTCCTTGTTTCTTAAATCTTTCAAAATCTTTAATCTACTATGAATTTATTTCAGCATAAGGTGGGAAAGAAAAATATTACCTAGATATTTCTGAAATATAAGGCCCGTAGATCTTTTACAAAGCACATGTGTATGTTTCCTCCCCCTCATAGGACCACCGTGGTGACTGCTGTCCCAAAATTTAATAATTTAATAATCCTGTTCCTGGCTGATTTAAGATATCACTTTAGTTATATGGTAAATTCTCATATTTCTGGATTTTCTTTTTTGTTCCTTGGTCTGTCTGTTCTGGTACAAATACACAATTTCAACTACTGTGACTTTATAATATACATTTTATTTTAGAATATTATCTGGCTCTTACACATTTTTAATTTAACTTTTATTAGTACATATCTGTTATACATATTGATCACATTCTTCACAGGAAATTTATACCTGTATATAATATATCTTAATTCTTTTTTTTTCTGATCCCTAATTGCACAGATTTTAGTATTTTCTTCCTTTTTTTTTTGATAAGGTTAGCTAAGAGTTTGTCTATTTTATTTTATCTTTCAAAGAACCAACTTGTCAATTCATTGATTCTTTGTATTGTTTCTTAGTCTCAATTGCATTAATTTTTGCTCTAGTATTTATAATTTCCTCCCTTTTATGCACTTTGGGATTAACTTGGTCTTCTTTTTCTAGAACTACCTATTCTAGATTCACTGATTATTTCCTTCATTATAGTCATCACCTCTTTAATTTTATCTCTTTTATTTTTGTCAAGAGACTTATTGATGTTTTGTTACTTTCACTGCCACCATTTCATAAAATTCAGCTGGGAAGTTTTTTATTTCTTTCACTTCGTGCCTCCTTAAATCTTTGGTAAGTTGGGGATTATAGGTTGTAGCTTGCTTCTGTGTTTTCTCATTTTCTCTTCTTTTATTTGTGTGTTTTCTGTTTTGATGCTTGTAAATTGCTTATGGTAGGTAACTTTATTACTTGCATGGATACATTTTAGGAAATGACTATTTTTCAGAAATGTCTTCTAGGCATAGCTGGCTTTTGGCTTTTTTGAGTCTGTCCCAAGATCCTGCCTCTTCATTTTATTAGGGATGAAAGGTAGCTGCCTGTTTGATACTGAATTGTATTGTTTATGACCCCCAGACAATCGAGGTATTGGAATATAAGAAAGATTAATGGATTACAACTTTGTCACTTTGGCTAAAGTAGTTCAGTAATCATAGTATCATGCACAGACTAGAAAATTACAAACTGTGGTAAAAAATAATTTGCTACCTTAAACCATAGATAAAAGATTTTTATAGTTATATAACAAAATCTGAGAAAATCAGAAAATAATATACAGTAAATGTTCATTCAGTAGAGTGATTTTTCCCTAAGAGGAAAAATATTTAAAAGGGATAAGAGGAAAAAATAGAGAAATAAGAGGAAGAGATTCGAAGCAAGACAAAGGACAAAGGAAGATTACCCAATCCTTGGGAAACTGGTAAGAAGATAGGAGGGAAAGAAAAGAAAACAAAAACAAGAACTAAACTAAATGAAAAACAATGTTCACACTCATGAAAAAGTGAAAACAAATGAACAACAACCAAAAAAAGGTGAAGAAATAACAAATAAATTTATCTGTGGTTTCAAGCCTGTGGTTATATTCTGGGGTCTACAGTATTGTGGCAGTGTCTAATTCAGGGTGTAACTCTGCTGTCACTGGTACACAGAAGAGCTAGTCAGAGCCCAGACCCATTTTGGATAATCTCAGCAAGTCTGCCAGGATTAGAGCAAGTGCTGGATAAGCCCAGCAAGCCTACAATAGGAATAGGGTGCGTTGCTGATTCTGGTACTTTCAAATCCACAGAAGTTCAGCTTCATCTTGGCCTCTGGTCTCAGGGTTGGTCCCAGAGTCATTTAGCCTGCAACACTCTGGATGTCTCTTCCAGGACCCACCATGGTTCCCCAACCCTGGACATCTTCATGGCTGTCTCTCACTCAGTCTTCTGGGATTTCAACACTAGTTCCAAGTCCCAGGCTCAGCTGGCCTCTCCCTAAAATGGTGTCTGTCCAAGCACCCCTTCCAGGGGAACCTGCAGCCACTTGAACTGGAGTCATTGACCAGCTGTGGTATCACTCTGCATCCACTGTTCTGTTCCACTGCTGTGTTTCTCCCTGGAGGCCTCTGGTGTCACCTGCCCTCACTGTGCCTCTGTAGATTTGATCCTCCTCTCTCATGCCACAAGCCAGGAGCCAGGGAGAAAGTGCAGGGTGCCTGCTGCTTTTTCTGCATTGAGGTCTCTCTCTTTATTTTCTCAGTGCGCTCCAATTTACCCTTCAGAGCCTCCCTGGGTCCTAGGATCAGCTCCTTCCTTTTCCTCTCCAAATTGTTATTTTCCAGTGTCTGGATTCTGAATCTTGAAGAGGCTCCTCTTACACATTTAATCTTCAAGATGATCTTTAGAACTATTTTTTGTCCCCTTACCAAAATGCATTTTTGTTGTTATTGTTGTTGTTAAACTTAGATTACCTTTAGGGGAAATTTATATTTTTACAATGTTGAGTATCAATCCAAGACCCTACCATGCATCTCCTTTTATGCAGGTCTCCTTTTTATGTCTCTCCATAAAGTTTTACAGTTTTCCTGTATGGATTAAAGCTGTATATTTTTTAAAGGAACTATAAACATTTACTTTTTGGGATTATAGAAACTGAGAGTTGGAAGGGACTTAAAAGTTGCCTTGTTACACCATCCCATCTGTTGCTAAGCCTCCCTCTTAGACAACGAAAGATATGGTGTATATTTTGGTGTTTTTAAAAACATGATAATATTATACTGTACATATTTTAT